TCCTCCTGCCTCAGCCTCCTGAGTGCTGGGATTACAGGCATGTGCCACCATGCTCAGCATGCCTAACATTTCTCCTGATTACAGCTTCTAGTTTTAAGTAGTCTGATCATTTTTCTTTTACATTAATTGAACAAAACAAATCCCAAGTACACATGATTCAAAAACACATATGGACAAATCTAAATATCATGACATGATGAGAATTTTTGAAAAAGAGAAATGATCAATAAAATTTTACTTATTTTTTGTATTTTGAGGTTTAACTTATATGCAGCCTTGTATTTAATTTGCTAATGTAAATTCACTATTGATTTTATTAGTTCTCCTTTATACTTTTTCCTGTCTTTCATAAATGGAAAATCACCTCTATGGAAAATACATACTCTAGCCGGGGATATAGCTCAGTGGCATAAGCACCTTCCTGGCAAGCGCAAGGTCCTGAGTTCGATTCCCAGTACCAAAAAAAAAAAAAAAAAAAAGAAAAAAAATCTAGTTAGAATATACATACTCTAAAAGAAAATGAGGAATAGCTAGATTGTCAAAATTTCTTTAATGAAATGTCAAGAAAAGGAACTACCAAAGTGAAGACATCTTCTCTTCCTCTTTATTTCTTTCTCTCTTTTGAGAATATCAGTTTATCAATATTATTTTTGTTTTTAATTGCTTACTTTACCTTGGAATGCTGCTGGTGGATACTGTGGGTTATACCCGGGTGGAAAATTTGTTCCTGGGTGAGGAGAATCCATTTAGCTGTCTGTAATTCAAAGAAAGGTACATTTATGTCTGCTTAAATAAAATATACATTCGAAAGAAAAATGTAAGTAATTTTCACTTGTGTGGTCTTATGCTCTTTGAAACAGGCAAAATAAATTCATTCAACATAAATTATACCTATGATCAGAGCTAATTTGCAGCAGAACCCTATTTCAAACAACCGTGTTCCCTTTTTAGATACATAAGACAGCTGAGTTACTGAGGCTGAATTCCTCATTTTTCAAATATGCTTATGTGTGTTGAGTTACAGGCTTTGATTCTGTGATATTCCAAATAAGATAAAGTTCAAAACACATACAGAGCTTGTTGTGGTGGTGCACTCTGCAACCCCAGCACTCGGGAGGATTGCACGAGTTTAACAGGCAAGATAGTCAGTTCAAGGCCAGCCTGAACTACATAGCAGGACCCTGTCTCAAAACCCCCCCCCCAAAATAAAATAAAATAAAATAAAATAAAATAAACTATATAGACTGTAAAGAAAGCAATAAATGAAGTTTGGATGTGATGATGACGATAGTAAGATTCTGGAAGATTTTAAAGATATCTATAATAATTGCTATAAGCACTATTTTAACATATAAAATAATACATGCACTTTAGTATTCATCTTTTAGTCTGACATTTTCTGTACATGTCTCTATTATAAACTTTCAAAGGCCATTAAACTCTAATTTAGTCTGTGGGTTTCTCAGGAAACCTCGATTGCGATCCCTCTCTCCTCTACTCAATCAACTTCATAGTAACATCACCAGAATGCACTCCATACAAACTTTAGAAATTCACGCAACAAAGAATTCCCCTTCCTAACATCAGGTGCTTTCCTTGGACAAACAGTACAACTAGCTCAAATTATTGCAAATCTCTGAAGTGCCAAAGGTTACTCTGCCCAAACAGTTCTCTTCTACTTCTTAGCTGCAGATAAGCAGCCCAGCTCCTTAGTTCTCTAGATGATAAGGTCTTGCCTCAGGCGAAACTCCCAGCCAGAGCTGCAAAAAGCAGGATTCAACTCAGAAGAAGAGACCAAGGAAACATACTCCAAGTGTGACTTAAAGTTCCGCTCTTAACTGTCCTGTCAGTACTCCTACTACAATTGAGGGCGGGAGACTCCTCCTCCTCCTCCACGCCTCTGAATTAGGGCCAATTTTCATTCCATTGTCCTAAGAAAAGCAAAAGTAAAATAACAAATCCAGGAAACCTCTGAAGTTTCAGGCTGGCGTACATGTGTGTTAGATCTCGTGGCCTTCTAACCTCTTCCCCACTTGAACCCTGCTCAGGACCACATCTCATGGGAATAATTTAACCAGAGTGCATTCTGGGACAGGCATGGCGTGTTAAAGCCACTGAGATGACGCAGTACCCTGTCAAACATTTCTGTCTGCCTTATCCAGAGTCCCACTGAGAGGCACCTAGGAAAGGGTGCACAGCTTTTAAAATCCAAAAACCCAGTCAACAATGTGCTTCTTTAATTTCCTGTTATCCTGACACCACATTTTTGTTTATTCACATTTCCGTTTCTGCTTACATGGACCTGCCCTGAGCACACTTTCCCAGTATCTTCAATAAATGTAGCCATTTATTCTTTGAGCATTGGTTGTACACTTACAATTTTTTGTTCATTATACACAAGGGCCTAGAATCTATCCGTCAGATCCACCAGGCAGTATCAATGTTACTTCCCAGCACCCTTTAACAGGTACCAACATTTCAATAATATGAAACACATACATTTAGGGACCGCTAAAAGATTTAGGGAATTGACAGCTCATAATTTCTAGTTTGGGGTATCAGAGAAATGACCCTACTTTAAGAAATTATAGCAGGAATTCATGCAAGGACCTAAGTGAACACAGAACATAATCATTTATTAGTCAATTTCTATATTTTTAAAATGTGAATTACAGTAGTTTAGAAAAAACTCAGCACTATCACTAGTGTTAAAGATACACAATTTTTACTTTTTATACATGAATAAAACTGTTTATATTCAATGTATATTTATTTACATATATGAACACATTTTATTTATGTGTATGCACATATGTACACATATAATTATGTATATGAAGCTAAGAGTTAAAAGGTAAATATGAACATGACCACATAAATCTTATTAAACTGCGTTAAGTGTTGAAAGATTATAGCACATAAAACAGCTTAATTCTATATAAATTTATCATCAAAAAGCTTTGAGTCTTAAAAATAAAATCAAGTAAATGCAACATTCTTTAAAATCACAAAACTCAGTGTGTAGAACATAAAGGGTCTACACAAATTTAAAAATTGCATGACTTCTCTAGTATGATGAACCAAAAATATAATTATATATATATATATTTTTTTGCTTTTTGAGACAAGATCTCACTAGGTAGTGTAGGTTGGCCATGAACTCACGGCAATCCTCCTATATCAGCCTCCCAAATGTTGGGATTAAAGGTGTGTACCATCATGCCCAGAACATATAAATAATTTAAAGAACAAAAGAAAAGAGAAATAATAAAACCATCCCAGGAAAATAGATCTCTTGCAGATGGGGAGGGGAGCAAGAGATGGATGGAGGTAGAAGTGCGAGGAGAAATAGGGGACGTGAAAAGAATTCAGATGTGTTATGTACATGTACCATCTCCCCACAATGAATGTAATCATTATGTACCGTAAACAGGACTAAAAATTAGAAATAAATTTTAAAAAAGGAAGAGCTCTGGTGCTGAAAATTATCTAATATAATGATCAAGACTGACATTTTAGTAAGAGATAATTATTTTAGAGGGTATCATAACAAAGAGAAAAGCGAAAAAGATTTATTCAGAAAGAGAGTATCTGTTTTTTGGTATTTTCCTTGATATTTATTATTTTTATCTTTGGAAACTTAAGTGTTTAATAAGGCAAAATCTTTCATTACATGTTTGATAAATACCCAATTTAGAACCTTCAGAGAAAAAGTGAAAATATTTTGACTTATATTTTTCAACCTATGGACACACACATATGTATGTTATAGAATATGTGTTAGGGTATATATCTGAAGGATTTATTTCAATGAGTTGGCATATTAAATTTCTTATTTGTTAATGTGACTTTAGTCCTTATGTATATATTACATACAGTGAAAAGAGAAACATGTTCTGGCTGAAATATAGGATACACTGTATAATATATTTACCAGTAAGACTAATGCTTAGCTTTCCCTACAATTTTTTTTTTTAATATTAATGAAAAAACATTAGTGGCAATGGGTATTTGTATGGCATTGGATTCTGGAGCATGAGCAACACAAAATAAATTATGCGATTTATTGAGTGACTAAAATATTGCAGCAAACAACAATTAAGCATATTTAACATTTTAGGGAAGAAAACTAAATGCTTTAAATTACTCCGCTTGACCATGACTTACACAGTTCTGAAAAAGAAGAACTGATATTACCACAGTGTCTACAAATTTATAGGTCAAATGTGACCAGTTAGACAAGATATTCTTGAACTTTATGGTCACACTCATCAAATAGATTTATTTGTCTCATCCAGCCTTCCCAGGAAGGCTTCACTTAAACCTTTTGGCCTTGAGCTTATTCTCCATGCCCTGTTTCTGAGGGGTTCTTTAGAAGTTTTTGGAAAGTCCATGATGATTAACACTTCCTGAAAGCCTCTGGAGAAGATAAACAATGATATATAGTGTGTAAGGTCATAAAGGAACCCTGTGAGCTAAGACCCCCAGGAACTACCAAATTAAACATTTCAGACTTCATGATTCACACACCCAAAGAGAGTATGTGGTCAGGTTTCCATCCTTCCTACCTAAGATCCGGGAATATTCTAGAAGGAAAACAAAAAAGATTAACTCTCAGATTATGCTACTGTAATTATATCTGGCATGCCAGGACTTGTTCTGCCCCGTGTGAACAGAAAATTAGAGAAGGCCTAACATTCTATTCTGTGAATGAAGAGCTTTTCGTTTGTTTTTAAACAGAATCCACTCAAGGTTGTCACGGCTGAGGCAACTTTCACAATCTAAGTGCACTTTTGCATTTGATTATTTCTACAAAAACATGAGTAGCAACAAAACATCTTATTCAGTACCTTTCTGCCTTCTGGTACTTTGACCCTAACTTTTAGTCACTACTTTTTCTACTGTAAATCTCAATCCATTTAGTGTCTATTAACTACAATTGAGGCACATGTACAAATTCTGCTGACCAGCAGTCTTATCTGGGACCACGGACTAAGCTGAATCAGTCCTTTCTCTTCCCATTCCCACTCCAATGTGGGCTGCTCTTTTACTAACTCCTTCTATTGTGTAATCCTAAGTGCAAGGTGGCTGGTCTTTCTACATAGCTGATTATGTCTACAGTTTCCAAGAAGAAACCAGTTCCCTCTTCTCAATTTCAAAATTATTAATTATCATTTTCAATTTGGCACACAAAGTTTCCCACATAATCTAGTAAAATTAAGCTTTTCACAACCTTAATAGATCTAACCCAAGGTGTATAAGACTCAGTTTTGGAAATAACTAAGTACATCCTTTGCTATACCAATTAGTCAATAAATTTAACATGATAACTGTTAAAAGTTCCAGAAAGACTTCATTTGGAAAAGAGGAAATCACAGTTATGACCCAAAGAAAAATAAAGTATCTGTGTTATGGCTTATAATTAGATGTTCCTCCAAAGCCTGTGTGTTCATACATGGGGCTTTTTCAAAGGTGGCTGTATTGGAGTAAGTGACACTGGAATTGATTCATGGTGCAATGGTAGGGTCATGAGCCCTAGGATTAAGGGTGTGAGTGCTGCCTGCCCTAAACATTCTGGATAAGATGTAAGGGATAGAAAGAGCTGTGGTTGTTCCTTTTTGCTTTGCTACCTTCTGCCCACCATGAACTGTGTCTGTAGGGGATGGTGACTCTTAGGCATATCATTTTAAGACAGAATAATTCTGTCTTAATGCAAGCCTCAAAATGTGTCTTGAGAAACATCCCGGAGGGGTT